GTGTGACCGCAGTGGCGGGCGGCGGCTCCGGCAGTGGCTCATCGAGCAGATCGACAGCAGCATGTACCCGGGGCTGATCTGGGAGAACGACGCCAAGAGCATGTTCCGGATCCCGTGGAAACACGCCGGCAAGCAGGACTACAACCAGGAGGTGGACGCCTCCATTTTCAAGGTGAGGAGCCCGCTTCCGAGGCCCGCCGCCGTCCTTCCGGCGGCGGGTGGGGTCCGGCGCCCTCCTCGCTCCCCTGGGGGCCAGCCCAGCTGCGCGGTGGGTGCGCGGCCTCGTCTGTCGGTCGTGTGACCCACTGCGCGGGAGGGCAGTGGCCCGCCCACCTTCCCCTGGGCACTGTCCTCGCTGCGCCCGCACTGCTGTGGGCAAGGACAGACATGCTCTCGGTCCTCCGCCAGACCTCGCCCCGGGTCGGCCGCCCAGTCCCCCACGGAACCCCGGGGAGGCTGGCGTCGCCCCCCGCCAGCTCTCCGGTGAGAGGGCCGCCCGCTGGGCCTGGGCTGGTGGGGTGTCCGAAGCCCGTCCTCCCTCCCCGGAGGGTCCCGGGCCTGGGCAGGGAGGGGCTCGCCCCTCTTCCCCTTCCGCACCGACACAGCCGGCCCGCTGAGTTCGCTCTGTGCCTCGCTGGCCCCTGGGGCTTTGCGGGTTTCCTCTCACACCGCCCTGGGCCACGTGCCCTCCTCGTCCTCGGCGGCCCGGAGGAGGAGTGTCTGGGCCGGCCACCCGCTGCGGGCCAAGGACCGGCGTCCGAGCCTGGCGGCCCACCCCTGAGTCCCTGCTGCCTCCTGGCCCCCGCAGGCACAGCCGCCGGGCAGCACCCGACGCTCGGCCAGGCCGGGGTGCCCGTGACCCGATACCACAGCACACAGCGACAGCAGGTGAAATCTCGGCCCCTGAACAGAGGGTAGCTTGGCCGCCGCTGACTCAGCAGCCTCTGTGGCCAGGTCTGGCTGACCCTGCTGAGCACGCTCTGCTCCCCTGGGGCTGGGCTCCCGTCTCTGGAGACGGGTGCCCGTGGCGGGCTGTGCCAGGAGACAAGGGCACGCGTGGGCCTTGCACATGCCCCCGCCACGGACGCCAGGGCCGGGCCGCCCCCCTCCTGCTCGGTGGCTGGGTGGGCTCCGCGCTCCCTGGCAGGCTTTCGCCTTGGCATCAGGGTTGGTTTCTGGGGTAGGTCTGGCCACTGCCGGGAGTCTAGGTGCTGCATGCCACTGAGAAGCCCTGGCTGGGGGGCGCCGGCAGCTCTTGGTGGGGGTCCCTCCGGGCACTGCCGGGCCCCACCTGCAGCCTCAAATGTCTCTGATGTTGCCAAATGCCCCCTCGCTCTCCCCCGTTCTCATGGAGGCCCCCCCGGAGCTGCCCATAGCCAGGACAGGTTTAAATGGCAGCGTGGGGTGCAGGGAGAGTTGGGGATCAGGACAGGCCCCGAGGGATCCCCCTCCCAAGGTGCTCCCGTCACCCTCACCCTGCTTCCATCTCTGCTCTGGGGGGAATGAAATCAAGCCCCAGATTTATGTGTCTTATGCAACGTGCCTCCTGGCGTTTCAACAGCCTGGAGGAGAAAGCACAAGATTTCCAGTGCTTTCCGTTGATTACGCAGTCGCCCAGTGTGGCAATCTGAAATGAGTCCACAATCTCAGCAGGAATGGGGGTGGGGGCACATGGTGCCCCCGCAGCGGGAGCCGGTGGGGGTCCCAGGGAAGAGCGGGTCGTGCTTTCCGCCTGCGCGTGGCGTCTCCAAGCTGGGGCGCCCGGTGCGGACGGCCGGGCGATGCAGTCTGGCCCGCCGGCCCCTCGGCGGGCTTTCTTTAAGTCGACACCTTTTGTTTCAAACGTTGAAAGAAAACCTTCCGGCCCCTGCGAGTGAAGCAGCGGTGGGCGCTCGCGCCGGAGGGTGCCAGCCTCGCCGCTGTGGACTGCGGCCTCCTTCCACGGAGGGAAGGGGCCCGGGTGACTGGGCGTTGTTGCCCACGGCTGCCCAGACGGGGGTGAGTGCACGCCCACTCGGAGCTGAGGTGTTTCAGGCCTCCGGGGGGAGAACAGGGGCGTTGGGTGTCAGAGACGCCCGCAGACAGCCGCGTCCAGAGGCCTGGGCCCCGCAGTGAGCTCTGGGAGCACCCTGGGGTACGTGTCCTCCCGCCTTGGTCCTGAGAGCCGGCCACCCCAGGGCAGCCGGCCTCCTGCCAGGCTGAGGCGGGAGCCTGGGGCCTGCCTCGGGCACCTCCTCCCCCAGGCCTGGCTTCGGTGTGCGGGTGTCCTGGCTTTCTCTGCCAGGTGAAGGGAGTGAACCGGTGACCCTGGCAGTGCCCCGCGGTCCCGGGTCAGGAGCCCCCTGCTGCGAGTGTGCCCTGGGCCGTGCTCCCGCGGATGCCGGGCCGGCCGGCGCCTCACGGGTGGCAGGAGCTGTCAGCTTTCCCTGCGGGGACACTTGGCAATGTTTGGAGACGTTTTTGGTTAACGCAACAGGTGAGGCTGCTGCTGGCTTCTGGGCGGCGAAGGCTGGGGTGCTTGACGTCCTGCGCGCGTCGGCAGCCCGGCCACTAGGCTCAGTCGTGGCCAGGGGGAGACTGCCCGCCGAATGCAAGAAGTTGCTGCCCAGTGTCACGTGCGCAGCGCTTACCTTTCTTTGGAAAAACAAGAAAATCAGCGCCTGGCCTGCAGTGCAGCGAGTGACGAGAGAGGGGAGCAGGGCTGAAGGCTACTGGCGTTGAGACAGAGCCAGAGGGACGCAGCCCCTCCTCACCCGCGGGGTCGGCTTCCGGTCTCTCGTCTCAGGCAGAGGTGCAGGACCAGTGCAGGGCACCCGGGGCAGAGGGCGTGGGGAGAGGGGCATGGCCCAGCCTCCCCGCCCGTGGGAGAGGACAGCCTCTGCCGCTCGGGAGGGAGCCGTGGCCGGGCCCCCAGCGCGTGCGTGAGGCTGGCTCCTGCCGCAGGACCGTCTTCACGGGGCAGCACGCGGGAGCCCGTCGTCACCAGGCGCTGGGGCTGACGCCCGGCGAGCTCAGCCGGGTTGGCATCAGGCCGCTGCCCGTCCCAGGCGCGGCTGCCTTGGGACAGTGGCTTCAGAGCTGCAGGCTCCTGACGGGGGCCGAGGCTCCCCCTCCCACCCCTGCCCCCGACCTCGCGTTATTCTAGGCTGGAAGATGGGTCTGTTTTTGTCTAAACCCAAAGGCTATTTTCACCCGATGATAGTTACCTCCCAATGGGTGTGTCTGCATTTTGAAATCTCAAAACCGTGCCATTTACACATCTGATTAAAAAAAAAATACCGCCGCATTCTACATGTTGACTCTGTTTCCAACTTCGAATTTCTGGCCCCAATTCAAGTTATAAGACTTGGTCAGAAAACAGGGCTGTCTGTGAACAACAGCAGGGGGGAAGAATATTTCCTTGCCTTTGAAACGGGGCCCAGGGCTGGCGGGGTGTGTGTGTGTTGGGGTGCAGGAGGGGGCGGCTAGAGTAAGTACCCAAGTGCGAGCGAGGGTCCCTGAGAGCGGCAGGGTGCGGGCGGCCACATTCGGGGCCCCGGCCAGTGTTCCGTTTTCATGGCAAATTTTAGCCAATTTGAAAGAGCAAGAAATTGTTTGTTTTGAACATTTTAGTGAAACCATGCGCGACTTCCTCTGTGGTGACTGACCTCAGGCTCTTCCTGACCCTCTGGTCCAGCGGAGGCTTCGCTGAGCAACATATCTGGCACGCGTGTTTACGTGTGCGTGGGGGCTGGGTGCGCCCCGGCTCCGTGGGGCTGTCTCGGGGAGCCCTCCCCAGCCCGGGCTCCTCGCCGTCCCTGGGAGGATGCGGTCTGGGCCGGGTGCTGGGCTTCGGGTTCCCTGGGTGGGCGCCGGTGGCAGAGAAGCTGCGGGCGGCCGGGACGCACTGGGCCCTGGCCGCGGGCAGCGTGCCCCGTGAGGGCCGCCGCGAGTGTACTGTGCTGTGCTTCCTCCCCAGGCCTGGGCAGTCTTTAAAGGGAAGTTCAAGGAAGGCGACAAAGCTGAACCAGCCACTTGGAAGACCAGGCTGCGCTGTGCCTTGAACAAGAGCCCAGATTTTGAGGAAGTGACAGACCGGTCCCAGCTGGACATTTCCGAGCCATACAAAGTTTACCGCATCGTCCCCGAGGAAGAGCAAAAATGTAACTGTCCTTTTGGGCCCTCTGCCCGACAGGCCGCCCGGCTCGTAGCCGCGGGAGCGGGGTCTGGGGAGCTGCCGTCCACAGGGCACGTGGCTCTGGCTGAACAGGGTTCGCCTTTGCACAGATGCCTGGCCAGCGCCTGCCCCTGACCTCACCCCATCTGCTGACCGAGCGGCAGCTTCCAGTCGCGAGATCCCGGCGCCAGTGCGGGCTGAGGGGGAGGGTGGCAGTGACGCTGCGCTCCCCACCCTCCAGCCAGGAGCATGCGGGGTCCTCCCTGGGGCTCAGCGAGGACCCCCGACAGCAGGGAGGAGGGATTCCCTTTGTTTTCTGGAAACTCCTCATGGGGGGATAATGAGGCGGACACTGAGCGATGGCCTTTAAGGGTCGAGGCTCAGGTTCCCAACAAAGCCCAGAGGCGGCGGCCCTGGTTGGTTGCTGGAGCTTGGGCCTGCGGAGGCGGGGCCGTGCTCGGCCGCGGTAGTGCGGGGGTCTCTGCCAGCGGGAAAGTCCCAGGCGGCATCTAAGGGGAGACAGAGCGAGGGCAGCAAACCCAGCCTGTGGCTCACATGGTTGGCGGCCCCAGGCCCTCTGCGGGGTGGCGCGCTCGCAGCCCCAGCCAGCCGGAGCGGAACCAGCAGGTGACCCTGGCTTATTTATAGCGCGGAAGCGGCAAGCATCACCTGCGAGGCGGGTGTTTAAGAAGCAGCAGGTTCTCGGGGGGGAAGGGGAGGCTGTATTTGCATACGGTCTAAATGGACTTCTGGTCCTCTGTACTTCAGTGGTTCGCAAGCTATGTTGGGGGTGCCCTGCCTGCCCACTCCACCCCCACTTCCCCCACCCACAGCTCTGTGGGTTCTCAGCCCGATCAAAATGGAATCAATTCAGTCAGTTCAGAAGCGGGGGGCAGTTGCATGGCTCACTGACCGGTGGACTCCAGTAATCCCCTTCCGGTTCTAGCACCTCCCACACCCCAGGGCCGTTTCTGCCCAGGGAGAGGGGGGCACGGTGTGGCCAGTCCTGAGTGTTTGCTGTGCTCGCACGGCGCCTCGGGCAGTTCGGGCAGGCCTGGCCGCATGGCCGTGGTGTGCGTGGCCTGTGCCTGCACGGCGCATGCCTGAATATTTGGGGAGGCCAAAAAAAGATTTCCTGCCAATCGACTTAGAAAACAAGACCCTAACCCGGGCACACTTTGCCAGGGAGTCGGCGTGATTCACACGCCCCGAGTGGGCTGAGCCCCTGTCGGCGCCGGGCCGGAGCAGACCCCCCGCAGAGGGAGAGGGCGGCCTGCCTCTGCGCCCGAGGCGCCACCATGGCAGCTTCTCTCTGACCCGCTGCTCAGAGGGTGCGGGAGGCCGGCTCCCCGCAGCGGGCCTCTGGCTGACTTCCTCCTGGGCTCGGCAGGCTGGTGGCCGAGCCTCAGGGCCGCCGGTCACGTGTGTCGCTTCTCCACAGACAAGCTCGGCGTGGCGGCCCCCGGCTGTGTGGGCGAGGTCGCGGAGATGGAGTGTGGGCGCTCGGAGATCGACGAGCTGATGAAGGAGGTGAGCGGCCTGCCCGGCCAGGGCCTCCCCGGCGGGGGGGGCAGGGCCGGGGTGCAGCCCCGCGGGCAGCTCCCCTCGCCACACCCCCTCCCCCGGCTCGGCTGCCGGCTCCCGCCCCGAGGGGCTCCCCAGCGTCCACGTTCACGTCTCACGCCGTTTCACTCGACTCCCCCCGCCCTTGGCGGCCCGGGCCTGGGCGCCGGCTGCTGCCCGGGGCGTCTCTCCTCCTCGCAGCCCGCTTGCCTCAGTGGTGGGAAAGCGGAGCCCGGGCACTGGGGTGGCGCTGACAGCCTGGCGTAGAGGCTCGGCGGGCTCGCCTTGGGTAGAGCTCGAGGGGCTGGAGAGCTGCGGAGTTGGACTTTCCCTCTGGGGAGCCTGTCCGCCCCCCAACACACGTGCTCAGCTCCACGCCTTGCTCTTCCTGGACGGAAGGTGCGGGCGCCTGGCTGCCTCATCCCGCCCGGCCCTCGGGGAAGGTGGTGTCATCTTCGTGACCCCCGGGGATGCTGGGAAGTCCTGGGCGTGGCTGGCCCGGGCAGTGCGGCAAAGGCACTGTGCTGCTGGCCGGCTCTGGGCCGTCTTAGGCCGGGGACCGAGGGGATTCCGGGCTCCCCACAAGGTCAGCTTTTACATCCCGGCCTTTCCGCTGACTCAGCTGGGAGAGGGCGAACACTGCAGGGACCTGCTCATGGGTGGGGGGCTCAGGGTGCTTCCTGCTGGGGCGTCCCGCCCTCCTCCACGGGGCGCTCAGGGACTCACCTGGCGCGGCGTGGCCAGGGAGACCCCGAGTGGGCAGGTTGGCTCCGCGTCCCGGAGCCCGCCTGCCCGCCAGGCAGCAGGGCAGCCAAGGGGCTGCCGTTGGGCTTTGTAGCAGGCAGCTCCAGTCGCCGGGCCCGCGGGCTCGTCGGGGCCCGCGGCGGCCGCATGCCGTGACCGCTGGGCCTGGTGGAGTGAGCGGGCTGCAGCCGCCCCGGTGCGGACTGTCCGAGCGTCAGAGAGGTCAGCGCGGCTTTGGCTGAGTGTACCCCTTGGTCTTGGCCAGCCCTCCGTGGACGATTACATGGGCATCGTGAAAAGGAGCCCCTCCCCGCCGGAGGCCTGCCGGAACCAGCTCCTGCCGGACTGGTGGACACAGCAGCCCAGCGCAGGTGAGGGGGGCGGGCGCCTGGCACTGCCCGGCACTACCCACCGTGGGGGGCACTGCTGCGCCTGGAGGGTCGTGACGGGCCGTGGCGGGGACCGCCGGGCCCCACGACGGCTGAGGCTCGCCCCCTCTGGGGGGAGGGGGCTCCGTGAGAGCGCCCCGGCTGGCTGGAGCCAGGTTTGGGATTCCGGCCGGCCGGAGTTGCAGCTCTCAGCGGGGGCTCCGCCTGCTCACCTCTAAGATGGTGCCTGCCCCGGGGGTCGCTCCTTTACTTATTCACCCCTCTGTTCACTTCTGCTGACCTCTCCCGACGGCTGGAAGTCACCGTCCACGGGCCTCGGCCTTCTCCCGCCCCGAGTGGTGCCCCGCGGTGGCCGGAGTGGTGGGCCCTGGCCCCTGAGCTGCGGCGGCATCTTCGGGGAGGTGGCTCCCCTCCAGGCGAGCCAGACCGGCCCTAGATGGGGGACGCACAGTCCAGCAATATTTCGGAAGCGGGCCCTGGGCGGGAAGGAACCGTGCCAGCACCCGCAGCACGGAGGGGTCTGGCCCTTCCGCCCCGCAGGTTGCGGCTCCGTGTCTGAAACCGGGGCTCTGTGCTGAGCTCCGAGGGCCCCGGGGCCTCCGGGGCCTCCTGGGGAGGACGGCGGGGTGGCGCGCCTCTCACGGCCTCTGTCTTGCCCCGCAGGCTTGCCGCTGGTGGCGGGGTACGCGGCCTACGACCACTCAGGTACGGGCGCTCGGGGCGGGCGGCGGGCTGCGGCTC